AGGGGGGGGGGGGGGGGTGGGGGGGGGGGGGGGGTGGTTGTGCGAACTTTGCGTTTCGGGTCACTGGCAGCTTGACTCCACCTGGGTTTTTGCTGGCCCCCCAGACCAAAAATCCTGGCTACACCTCTGAGCAATGCAAATTGATGTGCCCTACTTTAGTATGTTACTGTCTAACACCAGAGTATTTTACTTTAACGCCAGATGATTTTATTTGTTTATTGGTTGATGTATGTTAATTTAGATATAATACACAAGGTTCAAAAGATGACAACAGAAAGAAAAACGCCACAGAAAACACAGAAGAAACGAGACACACTTGCAGAAAAGGGCAGAAAGTCTGTTGTTTCCATTCCAGCTAAGAAACCAGCAACTAACATCATTCCTCTGATAGTTCTCAACCCAGTCATCATTCCTCTAATGATTACCCAGACAGTCCTGATTTGTTTATTGATTCCACGCACAGTCATCCTTCTGATGAGATCCCAACACTTGAGCACCCAGATGTTAGAGCAAAACCTCCAGAAGAGCTGGCTGTGCCAAAAGAAATTCAAAGAAGCTCAATTGCAAAAGTAGTTGAAATCCAACCACTTCTTGGTCGGTTTCTGGACCACCTGTTATTAGTGGAAGGAGGTCGCCGGGGGCCAAAACCATCAAGAGAAGCCCAGTGGCGAGTTGGCCGACTTCTTTACGAAGTTGATGAAACATTAGCTAATGTTAATCTGTTGTGGAATGACGATGCCATGGTACACATACGCTGTGCCTTTATTGAAGGCAATCACCTTTTAACAAAGCCTAGGAAAGTAGGCACCTTACAAGCTTATCTCTCTGCTTTGTTAATGTTTTACAACTTTTTGTTGACCCGAGCATCAAGTTTGGCAAACAAGTTTGTTTTCCAGCAAAACGATTTTAGTTTAGTAAAAGAATTTCAAGGCAGAGTGTCAAACTGGATGAAGTCATTCACTGAAGAATCAGCTAGCAGGAAAACCGAAGTTCATCAAGAAGATTTTCAATCACTTTTGACGAGCTCCCAAATGTGGAATTTGTTCAATTCACCTCTTCACGACAAATTTGAGAAACGATTTGAGAAACTGGATGATCCAGAGAATGAGCTTTGTGATTACTTGATAACGATGCTACTTCTACAAAGCGCTCAACATCCTGGGGCTGTTTGTAACTTGACTATTAACAAATTCCAAGCCGGAGAATGGGATGAGAGCACAAGTGTAAAACAGTTTGTCACATTGACAAAACGCCACAAGACGGCAGGTGTGTTTTGTACCATGACAAAATGCAGGGCCTTCGCTCGGAATATTGAATTTTTCAGGTACAATGAGTGACAAAATAGGTGGACCACTTTAGGCTGAGGCAGTAACAGGAAGTCCCATCCCCCTGTTCAATGTTGTGAGACTAAAATTAACATTTTATCTGACCAGCTTTCGTGTCCTAGTGCATTGTTGACAAATCTACATCACCTATATATTGATAATTACAAGTGGTTTGCAATATAAAAATTTTGCTTTTTACCCTACTTGTAACGTATGCATATCAAATGCATATCCAAGATGGTGAAATTCACGCTGCTTTTGATATAAATAAGTCGATTTATTTCGAAAACCAAGTAACATGCGGAAATAAATGAAATTTATATATCATTTAAAATGTTCTTTCAAATAAGACAAACTTAATTTATATTGCCATATCCCTTTAACATTCCAATTCAAGTGTCCCAGCTTTCAATGTCACTGCTTGTAGTTGTAATTCCTTCCCACTGCAGCAGGTTACAGTATATCTTCTCTACCTGTACTGGCACCTACCACTCATGTTTTGTAACAGTATATTTGTCTATATTTAAACTTAATTTGCATTTGAAAATTAACAGTCATAAGATTGTGCATGAATTCAACAAAAAAGTAATAGTAATAGAATGCATTCACCTACTTTTTTCTGTAAAAAAGGCTGGCTGGTATCTTCACTAATCCCAGACATGAAACAAAAAATAGGAGAGAACAAAAGGTTACTGAGTTTGTATTGTATTAACAAAATTTTATAACGACATTTTTTCAGGTACTGGACCAGCAAGCCTATCCTGGGATACTCGTATCTACAAGTGTGCCCAGATTTACTTGGAGGTACTAAGACCAACTGTGGCAAACAAGCATTAATTTCTCCAGCGAAAAGACAAAAGAGAGAAAGAACCACTTTTCTTTCTGACAGTGAGGGGGAATCCTATTCCTTCTTCGCAGATTTCTAACAGAATAACTAAAGTTGCTAAATTGCTAGACCCATCAATTTCTGGTAATGTGACTGGAAAGCAAATTCGTAAGTCGGCAGTATCCAGCCATCGACAGCTTGATGACTCTGGCGAATCAAGTGGGCTGTCGAAAGAAGAACTTGCTTGGCAAATGTCCCATTCAACGTCAACTGCAGATGGACACTATGCCATGAGAGACACAATTAAAGGTACAGTATTTGCACATAAAGCTAAGATTTGTTCATGCAACAATTGATCATGGTGAGAGTGGTAAAAGCATTTTCATAGAAGCAAGATGCAAAATGCTTGTAACTTATTCAAATTTAAATACAACGACCATCTGCAACTAATCCTTGAATGGAAGTACCTGCATGGACTTTTGAGCTGATCTTATTAGTATTGTAATATGTATTTTTGTTGCTGTAGGTCATGCCAGAGCATCGAATTTCCTTTGTTATGTTGTCGCAACAACCCCTGGAAAAGGTATGTTATAGCCTGCGTGAGTAACATATAAGGCAGATTTCCACTGTCGCATTTTTCTTACATGCATATATGCACGTAAATGTTTAAATCTTTCTAAATTTTGTATTAGTTGTAATTACCTTTAAATCATACACAAAACTAAATGCTGTAATATTATTATCCTGCGTGGCAGGCTCAGTGAAACAAGAGGCTGCAACAATCTCAAGGAAATTTGATCACCGGCCACTAATTTATTTTCAATCCAACCAATCATATTCTCTGAAATTCGTGGGTGTGATGCAGTGTGAGTAATAACTAACATACTTTATTACTGTTGTAGTTAATCATATAGAGCAGCTCAAACATTTTAACAAATGGCAGTTTAAATTACTTTTGGAGTAAAAAACCAGAATTTACTCCGGCGACGTCAGTTTGGTGCATGTGATAATATGTCAGAATGGTCTAATAATAGACTCAAAAATACACTTAATTACTTCATAAGCAACTTTTGAATGGATTTAAACTTTTATGTGCCTGCACATAGGTGTGTATGAAAAACGCAACAGTGTAAATTCACCTTTAGTTCTGAAAACATCGAAGTAGTACTGTTACCAATAACAGTTGTTACCTTGACGCCATTATGTAATGTTATTTCTGTTTGTAATAGCAAAATCTCCAAAGAAAATGAAGCCAGAAGGGTTGTGGAAAGCTGTTGTTCGTAGGAAAGTGTCACCAGAAAAACCATTATGAAGTTTACAAAGCAACTGCCTGGTAAGCAATTAAATGTGTAGTTACTTTTTTTATAAATTTCTTTCTTTTACCAAGCAATGTCATACCTACCAACTCTCACGGCTACCGAGTGTGTCTCACGCCTCAGCTCCATTTCTCACGCTCACACGCATGAAAGTTAAAATCTCACGCCTCATTGAAAATCTCACACCTTATTAAAAATTTCACGCCTTATTAACGATTTCACACCTACTTGACAATTTCACGCCTTCTAGTCTTACTCAAACTTTACTATTGCTGCAATATATCGCAATCAGTCATCAGATTTCGAGGATAATACACAAATGAAATTATGTAATAATTTAATTAATATTATAACGCTCAAATACCTTTATTATTTGAAGTCTGATATTCGATCATGCAAATAATTATGCAAATAAATATGCAAATATTTATGCAAATAATTGATGCGGAGCCTGGGCAGTTTACAAATTCAAAATGTCCGACTCAACCTCAGACTCGGATGATACAACAACAACAACAACATATTTGTCAGATAGCAATGATCTTGATGGCAGTTCGAATCCTAAAAAGGCAAAAGTGACGAGAAAAAACCATGGTGCTGCTGTGTATCGCACAAAATTTAATCCACAGTGGCGAGAAAAATTTCCTTTCATCGACAAACTATCAGATGATATTTACAGCTTTTACTGCAATATTTGTAAATGAAGTGTGAAATGCAGTCATATGGGTATAACCGACGTTGAAAGACATGTTGGCAATCAAATGCACATTGCTAATGTGAAAGCCGCTCGCGGTCAGCGTACAATCAACTTCCCTAGGTATGACAGCCCATTAATTGAGAAGGTATGTAAAATAATATAAATGTTAAACAGTGGTAAGCGGATTGGCCTGTAACATACGACCACTGACATATATACACTGGACTGAGTTCTCCAATCCAAAAGTGTCCACACAAAAGATGATGAAAGTTGACGT